AGGCACCACAGGCACCATCGTCACAGACACGGACACCATCACCACGGCAGCAGCAGCAGCGGTGGCAGCAGCAGTAGCAGCAGCGAGAGTGAGAGTGAGAGCTCCAGCAGCAGCGAGGAGATCATCGTCCACCACCACCACTCCTCCGGCGGCGGGTCATCCGGGTCTTCAGAGTCCAGCGAATGTTCCAGCTGCGGAGGGTCTTCCGAGTCTTCTGAGTCCTCATCCGAGGACTACCCCATCCCGATCCCCGTGCCCTACTCCCACGGCGGCGGCGGTAGCCACAGCCACACCAACTACCTCCCCATCGTCCTCACGACAGCAGGAAAATAAGTAAGTGACCTGCATTATAGGTATCGAATATCTCCCATTTATATCTGGATCGCGGAGTGGTAGGATGATCGATTGAATGTTGTTTGACGCCGATAATATCTGTACTTTGTACACCTTCCGTTATATCTGTACTTTGTACACCTTCCGTTATATCTGTAGTCACGTTTCGGTCGGAAGTTCGCAGTTGTGCGTGTCCCATCCCTTAGTTCTGCCAGAATACAGTCGTCATGAGATTGAATTCCTGATTGCTATCCTTAGTCTGTTGGCATAATCGCAGGCTTTTATAGAGGCGACACATCCTGATATAACCAAGACGTTTTTCAGAGACATTAAACCCTATCACTCTACTCTCTCTGTTTCAGTTGCTGTTATATTATGTTGGCTGCTGCCGGCGATAATACTCGACAACAGAGCGGTGGGCGATCACTGTTCAGTGATGTCTACATGTTTGTGGATGTCAGTCTGTTCTTGCACCTTCTTGTTACGGTTGAAATAAAGAAAATATAAATTGTGTATCTTAAATCATTTTTCACTCAAAAGGAACCCTGCGTTATATGTTAATATGTAACAACGTCAGAGATAAGGTTTCCCCCCAAACTGATTCCAACTGACGTCAAATGCCAAATAACGGTTCATTATATTAATGGTTAAAATCAACGGGAAATCTGTGACACCGGGAGTTGGCGAAAAGGGCAAAACTGTCCTGCTCTACTGGTATCAACCCAAACACAACATGCATAAAAAATAAGTTTAGTTTGTTCTTAGACGCACTCGTACGCCTGCAAATAACGGGTCAGATATTCCTTTGAATGGAACACGATCTTCACCCAAAGCATAGGTGCACATTAATTGATCAGGACTTACTCACATGGAACAGATAATGAGCTCAAAGAATAATATGTTCATTGTAAAACATGCGGTGGTGATCTTCATGCCAAATATGCAGTGGTGATCTTCATGTAAAACTTCCCAGAATATAATACTATAAAAAGATCACTACATCATAGAGGACAAAACATAGGCGGGCCTTTATCTCGAATTTATTTATGTTTTGTTTTGTCCACTGACTAAACGATTAACGACTCGACAAAATGCCGCAGTGTAGGATTAAGTATTGAACACTACTTGCCACGATTCAAGCTTTATAATGAAAGAAACAATTATTTAGATCCAATTTAAAAGCTTTGACTGCTTGACTGACTGACTGACTGAGTTTGGTTTTACGCCGCTTTTAGCAATATTCCTGCAAAATCACGTCGGGGGACACCAGAAATGGGCTTCACTCATTGTACCCATGTGGGGATTCGAACCCGGGTCTTCAGCGTGACGAGCCAACGCTTTAACCACTAGACTACCCCTCTGCCCCTTGACTGCTTGAAAATCCAGACTGCCCACAGATTTAATTTTCTCTCAATATCACGAAAACATGATACACGAACCACGGTGGCTGACATTGCAGACTAATATTTTTTTCAAGCTCAAACATATGTTTACATGGTTAATATCAAAATAAAGGGGTCGTTATCAATGAAAATATTTATCATAACACTACTCACACATTTTCTTGCCCTTTGCGATGCTACAAATTTTCATCAGCGTCGTGAACATGGGCCATGTGCTCTCGTCGACTTGAGTCGCCCGGTCACTTTACCGACTTTGTACACCTTTCCCGTTATATCTGTACTTTGTACACCTTTCCCGTTATATCTGTACTTTGTACACCTCTTCCGTTATATCTGTACTTTGTACACCTTTCCCGTTATATCTGTACTTTGTACACCTTTCCCGTTATATCTGTACTTTGTACACCTCTCCCGTTATATCTGTACTTTGTACACCTCTTCCCGTTATACATCTGTACTTTGTACACCTCTCCCGTTATATCTGTACTTTGTACACCTCTCCCGTTATATCTGTACTTTGTACACCTCTCCCGTTATATCTGTACTTTGTACACCTCTCCCGTTATATCTGTACTTTGTACACCTTTCCCGTTATATCTGTACTTTGTACACCTCTTCCGTTATATCTGTACTTTGTACACCTCTCCCGTTATATCTGTACTTTGTACACCTCTCCCGTTATATCTGTACTTTGTACACCTCTCCCGTTATATCTGTACTTTGTACACCTCTCCCGTTATATCTGTACTTTGTACACCTCTCCCGTTATATCTGTACTTTGTACACCTTTCCCGTTATATCTGTACTTTGTACACCTCTCCCGTTATATCTGTACTTTGTACACCTTTCCCGTTATATCTGTACTTTGTACACCTTTCCCGTTATATCTGTACTTTGTACACCTCTCCCGTTATATCTGTACTTTGTACGCCTTTCCCGTTATATCTGTACTTTGTACACCTTTCCCGTTATATCTGTACATTTTGTACACCTTTCCCGTTATATCTGTACCGTTATATCTTGTACACCTTTCCCGTTATATCTGTACTTTGTACACCTCTCCCGTTATATCTGTACTGTGTACACCTCTCCCGTTATATCTGTACTTTGTACACCTCTCCCGTTATATCTGTACTTTGTACACCTCTCCCTTTATATCTGCACTTTGTACACCTCTCCCGTTATATCTGTACTTTGTACACCTTTCCCGTTATATCTGTACTTTGTACACCTTTCCCGTTATATCTGTACTTTGTACACCTCTTCCGTTATATCTGTACTGTTTACATCTCTCCCGTTATATCTGCACTTTGTACACCTTTCCCGTTATATCTGCACTTTGTACAGCTCTCCCGTTATATCTGTACTTTGTACATCTCTCCCGTTATATCTGTACTTTGTACATCTCTCCCGTTATATCTGCACTGTGTACACCTCTCCCGTTATATCTGCACTTTGTACACCTTCCCCGTTATATCTGTACTGTGTACACCTCTCCCTGTTATACCTCTCCCGTTACTTCTGTACTTTGTACACCTCTCCCGTTATATCTGTACTTTGTACGCCTCTCCCGTTATATATATCTGTACTTTGTACACCTCTCCCGTTATATCTGTACTTTGTACGCCTCTCCCGTTATATATGTACTTTGTACACCTCTCCCGTTATATCTGTACTGTGTACACCTCTCCCGTTATATCTGTACTGTGCACACCTCTCCCGTTATATCTCCCGTTATATCTGTACTTTGTACACCTCTCCCGTTATATCTGTACTGTGTACACCTCTCCCGTTATATCTGTACTTTGTACACCTCTCCCGTTATATCTGTACTGTGTACACCTCTCCCGTTATATCTGTACTTTGTACACCTCTCCCGTTATATCTGCACTGTGTACACCTCTCCCGTTATATCTGTACTTTGTACACCTCTCCCATTATATCTGTACTGTGTGCACCTCTCCCGTTATATCTGTACTTTGTACAACTCTCCCGTTATATCTGCTTTGTACACCTCTGTTGTACACCTCTCCCGTTATATCTGTACTTTGTACACCTCTCCCATTATATCTGTACTGTGTACACCTCTCCCGTTTTATCTGTACTGTGTACACCTCTCCCGTTATATCTGTACTGTGTACACCTCTCCCGTTATATCTGTACTTTGTACACTTGCATGTAATCTGGATATGAAAGGTCAACTTGGAGATAACCATGTGAAGATAATTCTGATTTGGATATAAATATAGCGAGAGATAAATATAGCCACACGTGTTTATTTATACTTATACCCCACTTCCGGTCTCGTAGTCATTGTTTCCTTTGTCAAAAGTGTAGGTGTATTCCGGTTTGTCAAAGTGTAGGTGTATCAATGATACACCTACACTTTTTTACAAATTGTCGTAATCAGTCGTTAACTTAAAATCTTCCTGATCTTCCAGGTCGAAATGTGACGCTAACGAACTGTCAATTTGAGAAAGAAAATCCTCTGTCCACTCTTCAGCATCCATGGCCGACGAACGTGTGATCTTCCCAATGTTTTCTATGCCACATGCGAGTCAGAGAACGCATGCGCATTGGTCTGCCCATACAAATGTCAATTATGAATAATATTGCGCATATTTGGGGCTACTTGAAATCATTCTCGCGCCCGAACTGGTTTTTAAAATCACGTGAAATCGTGCAAGCCCGTGCATGCACGTGCAATCGACTGCTTATAGTCTGTTTGCAGTGAAAACCTACCGATGAATATCACTTAAAAACAGTAAATCAAATAAAGTGAAACTAAGATTGCAAAACCCCATAATTTTACCTTGTCTATTGAACATTTAAATCTCATAATTATATTCAGCTTAGGATAAAAGGTGTTTAACAAACGATCATAGCTTCAAAGCGCTGTTATTGGTTTGTATTACAAGGGGGTATGCGCATTAAATGAAACACCGAGAACATGTAGGTTTGGTCGAAGTTAACGCTCATTACGTACCGCACGGGCATTTGTTTCACTGTTCCAAGTACTGCGCTTACCCCCCTAAAATTGTAATACAAACCAATTATATTGATTTGAAACTATGATCATTTGTTAAACAAAATTTATTCTAAGTTGAATATAATTCTGAGATATTCATTTGGCAAGGTCAAATTATGAGATTCGCAATCTTAATTTCACTTTATTTGATTACCTTTTTTTTTAAGTGAAATTGATCGGTACGTTTTCACTGCAAACAGACGATAGACGCGGGACATTTGAGGGTCTTAACCAGTGGGCTAAAAATAAATGAAACAGATGGAAAACAAATACATTTTTTGTCATTCTTAGAATATAAAGTGTTATAGTAAACTCGTAACTCGACCAGAAGTGAGGTATAAGTCAGATGTACCCACACTTCCTCGGCTAGCGCCTCGGAGGCCACATGACTCAAACAGTAGGGGTATTGAGCGACACACCTCGGAAAGTGTGGGTATATCTAATACACGTCAGAGTTATATTGCTTTATGGTGTCACTGATAATACTCTAATTGTTTTTTTAGAGAAACCTGCAGTGCGCCATTGCACTGTATTATGCAATATCTATTCCGTGGCTAAATCAAGAGACACGTCAGCATTATATTGGTTATGTTTATGCTGATGTCATCGTGCGAATTACTTATAGCCCCACAATATCCGGAACTGCATTACGTCTTGGAAGGTAGCTTCGCAAGTACGAGCTCCGTTCACAGATTCCTGCCTTACACTAACGTTTCGAGAATGGCGAACTGTTCTGTAAGTAAACCTAATTTGACATTTACCTTAGAGTCAGCTGAGACGAGACAAACCAGTTAGCCTCTCTATAATCTTCCAAGATATAACGACAAATATGGGCGTCTTTACAAAGTCTTGAGGTTAAAGCGTTCGTTCGTCATGCCGTTGACCGGGGTTCGATTCCCCACATGGGTACAACGTGTGAACCCCATTTCTGGTGTTCCCCGCCGTGATATTGCTGGGATATTGTTAAAAGTGGCGTAAAACTAAACTCACTGTAAATTAAGAGACATGTCAGCATTATATACGTCTATAGTATCACCTTCATTCAAACTGGTAATACCCTGATAGAACCCCCAATTGTCTTAGTTCCCCAAGACTGGGTGTGCGCCATTGCACGGTACGTATGATGCTGACAAATACAGGACCAATCTTGGATTCAAACCCATGACCAGCAGATCCTGACAAGTCAGATTGGGGTATTAGGTCTGATATATATTGTGTCTGTTTATTAAGAGTATGTCAGTCATGATTCACTTCCATGTTACATATTTTGCAGGCGGAAACTAGGCGACACATCAAAGCCCTGATCGACATCCCAGGCATTCCATGGGGAAAATGGCCTCCACAAGAGCATCCAATATCAGGAATCTACATTATCAAAGAGCGTGAAGTGGGGAATTTACCAGCAAACCACGTTAACACGGTTGAATATGTGATCTACGTGGGGAGATCCAGCGATATAAAAAAGAGTCTGATTTCACATTCTTTCGGAGGCAAGCAAGATATCGACATACATATTGCTGTTACCCCCTGAAGAGAACAAGTTCTGCTTCAACATTGTGCCTGACTCCGACCTAAGTGAGGACTGTTATATAGACCACATTACTCAGTTGCAAGGTCGGCGGCCGAGGTTCAACTAGACAAGAGGAGATGCGTGTGCCCCATGTCAGAGCAGATAAATCTTGTGACAAGGAATCAATAATGTCATGAATCACTTAAACCTGACTTAAACCTGACTCACCTGTAGCTGACTGCGTAATGTGTATAAAAATCTGAGCTTTGTGTTAATCTGGCCCACATTCATTCACGATTTGATATGATCAGAACAGAAGAGAAATAAACATGATGACATTGTAAACTGTGCGTCCTGTCTTTTATTTCTGACCCTCATCTAAAACCTGGGCCTTTATTTTCGAAGCTCTCTTAGCCCTAAGATAGTCGTAAGTGCCATTCATTAACATTAACTTACGACTATCTTAGTGCTAAGAGAGCTTCGAAAATCTAGGCCCTGGATCATAAGTTAGATCTAAACCTGGACCATCAGTTAGATCTAAACCTGGACCATCAGTTAGATCTAAACCTGGACCATCAGTTAGATCTAAACCCCATCAGTTAGATCTAAACCTGGACCATCAGTTAGATCTAAACCTGGACCATCAGTTAGATCTAAACCTCGATCATCAGTTCGATCTAAACCCGGTTCATCAGTTGTATCTGAACCCGGACCATCAGTTATATCTGAACCCGGACCATCAGTTACATCTAAACCTGGACCATCAGTTAGATCTAAACCTGGACCATCTGCTTTATCTGAACCTGGACCATCAGTTATATCTGAACCTGGACCATCAGTTATATCTGAACCTGGACCATCAATTATATCTGAACCTGGACCATCAATTATATCTGAACCTGGACCATCAGTTATATCTAAACCTGGACCATCAATTATATCTGAACCCGGACCATCAGTTACATCTAAACCTGGACCATCAGTTATATCTAAACGTATACCATCAGTTATATCTAAACGTATACCATCAGTTAGATCTAAACCTGGACCATCTGCTTTATCTGAACCTGGACCATCAGTTATATCTGAACCTGGACCATCAATTATATCTGAACCTGGACCATCAATTATATCTGAACCTGGACCATCAATTATATCTGAACCTGGACCATCAATTATATCTGAACCTGGACCATCAGTTATATCTGAACCTGGACCATCAATTATATCTGAACCTGGACCATCAGTTATATCTAAACATTGACCATCAGTTATATCTAAACGTATACCATCAGTTATATCTAAACGTATACCATCAGTTATATCTAAACGTGGACTATAAGTTATATCTAAGCCTGATCCATCAGTTATATCTAAAACTGGACCATCAGTTATATTTGAACCTGGACCATCAGTTATATCTGAACCTGGATCATCAGTTATATCTAAGCCTGAACCATCAGTTATATCTAAACGTATACCATCAGTTATATCTAAACGTATACCATCAGTCATATCTAAACGTGGACCATTAGTTATATCTAAGCCTATACCATCAGTTACATCTAAACCTGGATCATCAGTTATATCTAAACCTGGACAATCAGTTATATCTGAACCTGGATCATCAGTTATATCTGAACCTGGATCATCAGTTACATCTAAACCTGGATCATCAGTTACATCTAAACCTGGATCATAACTTATATCTGAAACTAGACCATAAACCTGGATCATCAGTCATATCTAAACCTGGACAATCAGTTATATCTAAACCTGGATCATCAGTTATATCTGAACCTGAACCATCAGTTACATCTAAACCTGGATCATAAGTTATATCTGAAACTAGACCATAAACCTGGATCATCAGTTATATCTAAACCTGGATCATCAGTTATATCTAAACCTGGATCATCAGTCATATCTAAACCCAGATCATTAGTTATATCTGAACCTGGACCATCAGTTATATCTGAACCTGGACCATCAGTTATATCTGAACCTGGACCATCAGTTATATCTGAACCTGGATCATCAGTTATATCTGAACCTGGACCATCAGTTATATTTGAACCTGGACCATCAGTTAGATCTGAACCTGGATCATCAGTTACATCTGAACCTCGATCATCAGTTAGATCTGAACCTGGACCATCAGTTAGATCTGAACCTGGACCATCAGTTAGATCTAAACCTGGACCATCAGTTAGATCTAAACCTGGACCATCAGTTAGATCTAAACCTGGACCATCAGTTAGATCTAAACCTGGACCATCAGTTAGATCTAAACCTGGACCATCAGTTAGATCTAAACCTGGACCATCAGTTACATCTAAACCTGGATCATAACTTATATCTGAAACTAGACCATACACCTGGACCATCAGTTATATCTAAACCTGGATCATCAGTTACATCTGAACCTGGACCATCAGTTATATCTGAACCTGGACCATCAGTTATATCTGAACCTGGATCATCAGTTATACTGACTGTCTGAGTATGGTTTTACGCCGTTTTTAGCAATATTCCAGCAATATCACGGCGGGGGACACCAGAAATGGGCTTCACAAATTGTACCCATGTGGGGAATCATCAGTTATATCTGAACCTGGATCATCAGTTATATTTGAACCTGGACCATCAGTTATATCTGAACCTGGATCATCAGTTATATCTGAACCTGGATCATCAGCTTTATCTGAACCTGAACCATCAGTTACATCTTAACCTGGATCATAAGTTATATCTGAAACTAGACCATAAACCTGGATCATCAGTTATATCTAAACCTGGACCATCAGTTATATCTAAACCTGGATCATCAGTTACATCTGAACCTGGATCATCAGTCATATCTAAACCCAGACCATTAGTTATATCTGAACCTGGACCATCAGTTATATCTGAACCTGGATCATCAGTTATACTGACTGACTGAGTATGGTTTTACGCCGTTTTTAGCAATATTCCAGCAATATCACGGCGGGGGACACCAGAAATGGGCTTCACAAATTGTACCCATGTGGGGAATCATCAGTTATATCTGAACCTGGATCATCAGTTATATTTGAACCTGGACCATCAGTTATATCTGAACCTGGATCATCAGTTATATCTGAACCTGGACCATCAGTTATATCTGAACCTGGATCATCAGTTATATCTGAACGTGGACCATCAGTTATATGTGAACCTGGATCATCAGTTATATCTGAACCTGGATCATCAGTTATATCTGAACCTGGACCATCAGTTATATCTAAACTTGGACCATCAGTTATATCTAAACCTGGACCATCAGGTATGTCTAAACCTGGACCATCAGGTATGTCTAAACCTGGAACATCAGTTAGATCTAAAGATACCGTATAAGAACACCTATATTTCAAGTTGATTGATAAAAGACGTGACACATAACCCATGCATTGATTAGAAAACACCAAATTCAGTTCAAACAGGGGATACCTGCAGACAACCCTCCACCCTGCTAAAGGAGAAGACTTCAGACTCAACGTTTTTACACACACCCTGTCTGCATAGTGGAAACAAAACGTACTCTATCAAATTTCCATACTTAAGACCATTGTAGGTTATAATGGCACAACACATGTTATCGAAATATTGATTTATGGTGTCATTGTGTACGTCACACTTCACATAGCCCGACAATACTCGGAATCGTTACACTTCTGGGAAGGTGACTGCGCGCCATTGCTGTACGAGCTCCGTTCACAGACACCTGCCTGTCCTACACCTGCCATACACTAAGGTTTCGGGAATGGCGAACTGTTCTGTAAGTATTCAATAGCTAATTTGACATTTTGTTTTAGAATCAGCTCTGTGATTGAGTTTTGGATGGTACTTTTGTCAGAGGACGTGGCAGGCACATGAGAAGGTGGGCGGTGGGGTAGCCTATTGGTTAAACTGTCGTGTTATTGACGAGACGAATCAAATATCGTCTCTATATTCTTTGATATAACCAAATCGAAATGGGCGTCTTTACAAAGTCTAGTGGTCAAAGCGTTCGCTCATCACGCCAAAGACCCATGTTCGATTCCCCACATGGGTACAATGTCTGAAGCCCATTTCTGGTGTCCTCCCCGCCTAAAAGAGGCGTACAGCAACTAACTCACTCACTCACTGTAAATTAAGAGACACGTCAACATAATATACGCCTATAGGATCATCTTATATTCAGACTGGTAATAGCATAATAGAACTCCAAACTGCCTTAGTTCTCAGAGCCATTGCACGGTACGAGCACCGTGGATAATTCCTTGCCAGGAATCGGTTTGTTACAAATGTGTGACCTTTATGTGGACATAAAAGATATTGATTTTTTTTGTAAGAACACGTCTGGCCCAATTTGTAGAACGTCGAACATTTCTTAAAGTATTCAGTAACCCATGTGAAATTTGTCTTAGAATCAGACCTGATTGAGCTTGTAAGGTCATCTCGGTTTTGAGCAGTGCCCCAGTCATATCAGGGCGTGGCAGATAATGAGGGAGGGAGGTCAAAGGTTAGATTGTTGGACCATTCCGGTGAAATCCAATCGTATGTTGCTGACAGATGAAAAAAAAAAACAATCTTGGATTCAAACCCACGACCAGCAGATCCTGACAAGTCAGATTGGGGTATTAGGTCTGATATATGTTGTGTCTGTTTATTAAGAGTATGTCAGTCATGATTCACTTCCATGTTACATATATTGCAGGCGGAAACTGAGGGAAACAGCCAAGCCCTGATCGATAGCCCAGGCATTCCATGGAAACAATGGCCTCGACAAGAGACGAAAATAACAGTAATCTACGTTATCAAACAGGGTGGATGGGTCATCTACGTGGGAGGTCCGATAATATAAAACGACGTCTGAAGACACACAAACACCGCTCTAGACAACAGCAAAAAAATCGACAGACATATTGGTCGGACCGCTGCCTGGAGGCTCAGCTGCAACTATGTGGTTGACCCCGACCACAAGTGTGCCGAGCACTGTTATTCAAAATACATTGCTGAGTTGCTAGGTTACTGGCCGACGTTCAACATGCTGAGAGGAGATGCGTGTTCCCCCTAAAAAGACTGACTGACTGACTGAGTTTAGTTTTACGCTGCTTTTAGCAATATTCCAGCAATATCACGGCGGGGGACACCAGAATTGGGCTTAACACATTGTGCCCAAGTGGGGAATCGAACCCGGGCCTTCGGCGTGACGAGCCAACGCTTTAACCACTAGGCTACCCCACCGCCCCCCCTAAAAAGAACGTCAGAGAAGATAAACCCGGTGACAAGGATACAGAATGTGCGATTCTCTGAACGAAGTTAATGTCATGAATTAGTTA